TATAAGAACAGTTAGCAAGAAGCCTGCCACGGCCATACAGTTTGTAAGCAATATAAGTCTCTGTGTTTATTTGGTTGGGTCAGAGCAGTTGTGGGACTGGCAGGTGACAGAGATTTGTCCTGACTGTGGGCAAGGCAAGATAACTCTAGCTACAGGGAGTCATAGTGTGTGGTCTTCTGATCAGCTTCCCCCACTAAGTATGTTTCAAGCTCCATCCACAGTGTATCATGGCTTCATTTCAAGACCAAATAACATTCCACTGATTGGATATACTATACTTTATGTACTATTCATTAACTGGTGGGACAATTGTATTGCTTCTACTTTGGGGCTATTATGAACATTCACATACAAGATTTTATGTGAATCTATGTTCCCTCTGGAAATGTATCTAGTAGTAGACTTGCTGGGCCATAAAATGGCTCTACATTTAACTTTGAGGAACTGGCAGATTATTTTCCAAAGTGAAGGAGCCATTTATAATCCCCACCAGCAGTGTATGTGGTTTCCAACGTTGCTATACCCTTGTCTACACTTGCTGTTGTCTGTCTTCTTTAGTATGGTTATCCTGCAAGATGGAGTCAACAGAGGTCTCAATTCCGGCTTCCTGTGAGGACCAAATATAACCATGCAAATAAATGATCTACCACAGTGCCTGGTGTCCTAGAAGATGCTCAAGATGGGACGGATCAGTGTGATTCTCTAATGCAAGGTTTGAGGTCTGCTGATCAACTTACACCAATAGCTTTGATTGCACCAAACTTCCCAAGCTGTGAGCCTTCAAAGGGAGAGATGCAGAAAAGCGAACCACTCAATGCGTCAGCTCAGAACTTGGTATCCCCTTGCCCTCACAATTCCCAAATGAAATGCACAATCACATCTTGGGCTCCTCCATGGCCCTAAGTCTGTGACTCCAGAGCACAAGGGGGACATATCCAAAACAGTGGCTTCTCCTCCCCAGAACATTCTGTATATTCTTCCAGAATGAATAGTTCCACGTCAGTCACAGAGCCCATGCAGGAAAGGAAAGGAACTGGGTGTGATTCAGGCACTCTTAGACTCAATAACTTTACTATTATAGCTTTGGGGCCTTCTAGAAACATGAGTAAAATGCCCGCTGCCAACGTGAAGCAGAGTTCTAGGGACGAGACTCACGCCCGCCCCCAGTCTTTGCAGAGGCCTGACTTTCCACTGCCATTATCTCCTGCACCCCTTGGCCTGGTATCTGTGCTGGCTGCTGAGGCTCTCCGACCACCGACAACAGACAGGCCAGAAGGGCTATCCAGGTTCCAACCCAGCAGTCCTTAGCCCATGGCAGATAAAACTTAAGGGTCGATTCTTCAGCTGCCCCGGCTAGGGGTGGTGTGCAGGGGGTCACTGGCAGGTATTCCACCTGGCCCCTAGAGTTTCATTTGATCAGGCAGCCCCTCCAGAGAAGCCACACCCTGGCTACCTTTGTCCCCTACCTCACTTCCCCCTTTGGTGTTTCTTGGGCTCACCTCTCAAAGGAACCCCACTTCACTCCAGTCTC